CATTGTACAAATACGTCAGCTTTTCGCGTTTTTTTTTTACATCTTGCTCTAAGTTGGGTGATAAGTCGTCTTAATCTAGTAGAAACATATTATTGATATCCTTTTCTTTCATTTGTGATAGAGGATCGTTCTTGCGATATTAGTAAAGAGTTCTTTGTGATAGAAAATCGTTCTTGCGATATTAGTAAAGAGTTCTTTGTGATAGAAGATCGTTCTTGCGATATTAGTAAACAGTTCTTTGTGATAGAAGATCATTCTTGCGATATTAGTAAAGAGTTCTTTGTGACAGAAGATCGTTCTTGCGATATTAGTAAAGAGTTCTTTGTGATAGAAGATCGTTCTTGCGATATTAGTAAAGAGAACATTTATTATTTATATTCATTTCCAAACGTGAAATCAAATGAAGAATCAACATGAACGTCATTAAGTAGCAACACAGATTATGTTTGTTTTTCGAACGATCGCTTATAAAACGTAATAAATTGCATCAAGTTAAGAGACCCATATATTACCTAGTTAAAATTTACACTCGCCAGATAATTAAACTTTCGTTACTATGATATATCTTTAACATAGATGTAATAAAACGACATTTGAATGGGCGAGGTTTAAGAAGTTCTCCTATCTCTATAACTACATATTAGTAAAGAGTTCTTTGTGATAGAAGGATCGTTCTTGCGATATTAGTAAAGAGTTCTTTGTGATAGAAGATCGTTCTTGCGATATTAGTAAAGAGTTCTTTGTGATAGAAGATCGTTCTTGCGATATTAGTAAAGAGTTCTTTATATACATTTGTTGCAAACCTTTCTGTTTACTTACACCCATAGAAGTGCATGTAATCCATCGTCTACCAACCTGGAGTATTAATATTGAATAATACCCTAATCATACCTGTTATTTTGACTTTCTCCGGTTCAGGGCGAATGTAGTCACACCTGCACAAAACTTTAGATAGACAACTTTTTCAATGGTTCTTTTTTTAAATAAACTAACAGAGTGCTATAAACATACCCTTTCTTTTTTGGGGCTCTCTGAAACTGGAGGGGTTTTAAAAGAATGGGGCTCCATGGAATCTAAACTGAAAGCATCAGTGGAAAGAGCGTCCGGAGGAATTGCATAGTCGTCTGACAATACGGACTCCGACGATATTTCTATGGCCGAAGAGAAGAAGAAGAATTACAATAAGTTAAAAAAAACATCTCCAGAACTTAAAGGTCTAGATTCATAAAAAAAATAATAGTTTCTTTTTATCCCTATTTTGTCGAGAAAAATGTCTTCCTTCCTCAGTTATATGACGTTAGGAAAACATGCAGGTTAAAAAAAACCCATTAAAAACAAAAATACGAAACTCTGTTACTAGAGCACTTTCGATAGGTAAACCTTTCTTCGTTAGTGGCTCGCTGGTAACACAGGTCGACAAAATCGAACTTTTTTTTTCTCTCATCAAAGATGTAAAACACACTTTTCTAGACCAGATTTCTAAGCTGATTCCAAATCGGTTTTCTTCTAGTACATCTAGTTATCGAAGTATGACTGGTGTTAATTTCAGCACAATTTAGGTAATAATTACACATTAGGCTAGTTAACGTTACAACTTTATTAATTTTTCAGTATCATTCCCATAAACGTTATACACACCATATACTTGGGTAAATTTATACAGTACACACTTATGAAAACAGAAATGCACAACAACTTAAATTATAATTAAGGCAATAACCTTTTAAAGTTGATCGGTCTCATCACGAAAACTTGACGTGCTAGAGGAAAACCAAAAACAGATTTGGAATCAGCGTACCAAGAGCTATCTAGCCCACCTATAATTATATCTGATAACAATAACTTGTAATAAATGAAGAAAGATCCATCCTTGGAAAGCGCCCGGGTTATAGAGTTTAGTATTCTCGTCCTCAAAAACAGTTTGATTGTTTGAAAACATTTAACATTTTCTTTAAGAAAAGTTTAGAAGAGTTCTTTGTGATAGAAGATCGTTCTTGCGTGAAACTAATCTTCTACGTCGGTGTTAAAGTAAAAACAACCTAATATTCTATGTTGGTTATGAAATTTAAAAATATTGAGCGTGACTTTGTTCACTTTTCTATTATATTAACTACAATGAAATCATCTGAATTAAAGGTATTTAAGATTTCCCGATGTGTTGTTTTCTTTTGAAATCAATGTTCCTTTGTTCCATAAGCCAACAGTAGAACAAGGAAAGTAGTTTGCTAGCACTGAGGAGTGAATATTCCACAGTGAAGATGTTGATGGTGAAATTCACACACTTAACACTAAGAAGTAGTTACACACAGAAAAAAAAAAGAAGCATGTAAATACTTTTTTATTTTAACAATAAAACAAATGTGATTACTTTTAAACTCGTCAAGTATCCGTGAATATATATATGTATATTTCTTGGGTGTTCTTCATACATAATTACGTACTGCACCTTATACGACACATTGGTTAAACGGTCAAGTCAAAAACCCACAGAGTTCAGACGAACAGAGACAATTGAACAATGATTGTAGATTCTTTAATTTAATGTGAAACAAAAAATCTCGTGTCTCTGAAAAGAAACGTAAGTAACACCAGTATATATCAAAATATGAGGTTAAATGAAATATAAAATATTTTGGAAAACTTCAATATAAAAATAATAAATTTGAAGCACAATATTTATTTACATACGATATAATATTGTTTTCTTAATGTAAGTCTACACAATGGGCTATCTGCATTCGGTCCACCGCGGGGAATCGAACCCCAGAATTTAGCGTTCTAAGTCCACGAACTTACAGCTGAGCTGCCAGAGGATCACACAATATAAACTGACAGAATATAAATATCAGTGTCCATAATAATAATAATATATATTTTAAATCTTTATTAATATATACTAAATTATAGAATCATTTTTCGAATGGTGAAAATGTGCATTTTTGTAAACATTATGGAATCAGAATAATAATGTTATTTAAAAACCTTCTGTGTAACATCTTATAAAAAAACAAACTGAGAAAATGGTGTGAAGTCGCTCTTTTAGAGGTGCGAAAAATTTATAAAGGAGATATACATTTTTACTTTAACACCGACGTAGAAGATTAGTTTGTTTTTACTTTAACGCCGACGTAGAAGATTAATTTGTTTTTACTTTAACACCGACGTAGAAGATTAATTTGTTTTTACTTTAACGCCGACGTAGAAGATTAGTTTG